TGTATTTACATATTAAACTAAATAGGGACATCTAAATATGTAGTATGATCATTACGTCCCCAGTAGGGATGGGTTCGGTTACGACTATAGTCGACTATAGTCAACTATTGCCGACTATTAGTCGTAGTCGATATTTAACTGACCGAAGGCTTAGCTAACCGGCTAAAATTGTAGTCGATGCCAGATTTTTAATTTTCTGACTAATAAATACTTTTGCTGTCGTCAATAGAAATAAGGCAGATTGACATTTTAAAGAAATTTAATACCTTAACTTTCACAGCTCGTATCTCGATAGATTTTAAGGTTATCTTGATGATTTAATAGTCTAAAGAAAGCTAATGATCTAAGTTTCTTTTGGATATTAAATCATCAAAATAGCCTCAAAGTTCATCGAGATTTAAACTGTGAAAGTTAAGGTATTAAATTTTTTTAAAATGTCAATCTGCCTTATTTCTATTGACGGCATCTCACTTTGAGTGGTTAAAAGAGAAAACACTTCATTCATAATTCTGGTCAAATTTGCAGATTATTTGACCAGATCTGGAACAAAACTATTCTAAATTTGGTAAAATGATCTGGTAATGCAGATCCTTAAATAAATTTTTTTGTCCAATCAAAATTCAACTTCTTGGTATGTCAAAACAATCTAATACTGGTCAAATTTGCAGATCTTTTGGCCTGGAAAATCCCGGGCTGAATAATCTGCAAATTTGACCAGAATTAGATTGTTTTGACAAAGATCGACACATAAAAAGCCCCTATAACAAAAATATAACATTAAATATAAAAATTATTTACCTATTTAGCCAATGATTAAGCCACAGATTAGTCGACTATGAGCGACTAGCCGATAATAACCGACCGAACCCATCACTAGTCCCCAGATCTGAGTATGCAGTCACCCAAATTTATTATTAATCGGTTTAAAATTAGACTCCAAAAATTTTTATTTTTTCTGACAATGCACCTTACTTAACAATTAATATATATATGAAACAATAATATTCATATTGATATATGATAAAGTCAATTAAATTAGCTCACTATTGGTAGTCAAAATTTCAAATTTTGGAGTATTTCACAAATGAGCCATAATGTTTTAATATTTAAATAATTAGGGTCAGAATGATTTTACCCTAAAATCCAGACATCCCATAATCCCGACAGAGACAGAATCCCGACAGGCTAAAATAAGATCCTGACAATGACAAATCTTGATATTCAAAATCCTGACAGTCTATAATTCTGACACATCTGACAAAGACAAAATTCCGACAAGTGAAGAATCGGGATTTTGGATTAGAATTGTTAGGATTACTGTAGTTTAGTATTAGGGTCGTCAGACTGAGCAAAATTCGGTAGGCTGTAACATGATTTAGCATATTTCTAAAATAACAGATTTAAGTTTAAGCAAATATTACACTAGTAACATATATGCGAATTGTAATATTTACTGTAGATTCATAATGCAATTCATTAAAAAATAACTTTATTTTTTGTAATATTGTTACAATATTATTGTAATCCAGAATACTTATTAATGCAAAGTAAAAAATTTAATAATAATTTTAGGCAAATTAAAATTTTCTTTGTTACGAAATAATATACATAAATGTATGCTATGAACAATAAGAAAAAAAGTGTATTATAAAGTTCAAGATATATTTGGGTCAGAAGTTAGGGAGGTTTTCTGTGTTGAAAAGTTTTATAATAAAATTTCTAAAAACAATTGGGTGCTATATCATGGTTACATGAATGAGAGTGAAAATCGGGAAATAAGCAACATCATCTGGTAGTTTCCCACCTGCTCGAAAAAGGTCAGTCGTTAAATAGACAAATGACTGAATTAGGGACTCTTTCAACATTCTATGTCTAGTGATATTACTAATAATACGAAAATAGATGTTTCTTAATTGTCGAATTTATAATTTATGTAGAAAAACATTTTTTTTCAATGGATTGCAGAGTAAACAATTGAATTTTTAATTTTTAAGTCCTATCACTAAATTCGTGTCTACTGTGCATTATTGATTAAATCGTAAGCACTTTTTGTGGTGATATATATTATTGTTATTTCCTAAACTAAATCAACTAGAGGATAATAAATATAAAGATCAAAATGAAACGGTAAAGATCCACAAAACCTTAACAATTACCAGATACTGCAAAATGCCTATGTAATTTTTATGTAAGCAAATTATTTTAGATAATAAAAAATTTCTAAATCTATATTCTTGTTTTCTAGAAAAAGGCAAAAGTCTGTTCAGAAGAAAAATACATATAGAATCATTATTAAATAAAAAATACGAGGCTAAAAAATTAGGAAAATTTATGATTTGATCAGTTTAACTTCTTAATCTAGGTTTTACAACATTTTTCATCTACTACTGCACGAGAAGTGAGTTTTGTTAGTATTGAAAAGATATGTAGCTATGTAATTTGACACGATATATAGTATGTATGTCACTACATAATATATATTTCTTAATTGAATCAAGCTAAACAATATCATAAATACGAGCTTGGAAAGCCATTGAGGAATGGAATTATAATTTAGAAGAAATTTAAAAATGAAATTCGAAGGTTAGAAATATTAAAATACATCGTATCGGCATATTTTGGAAGAGGTGCTACTATTTTATACTTAATTAATATGGAAAATACTTTATGTTGACAATAGAATGTTTCACTCCCTGTGAAACATCTAAATGGTATCTGTATAACGTTAATTGAAACAATAAACAAAAACACCTGCATTTAAATATTTATTCGAGTGAAAATAATGTAAAAAGTGTTTGTAGAATTTTGACTCAATATTAATGTTTAGATATTGATTATTAGTTTTAGTTTATCCTAGTGTTGGGCAAATTCTAATTTTTTTCAAATTTCATCATGCGCACATATCATAGAAAGCCATTCATATGATTGCCTGTGATAATTAGCCAATCAAATTATGTAATTTTCAAAATGCTAATCATTTTAATTCTGCTAAAAAACGAAAAAAAACTTTGCTTATAAACCAAATAATTACATACAAACAATTATCACACAAAGTTAGAAACAAATAAATACGCGTAAAGTGAGATAAATGTAATATTTATTGTCATAGCTGATGCTGAAATTTAGGGTCTCTAATTAAATCTATAATACCTACTAAAATCCGCATATACTTTTTTATTAATAAAACTACCCTACTAACCCTAATCTAACTATGAAAAAAAAGTGTACAAAAAGGACAAAAATTTTTTATAATTTTATAATAAAATATGAAAAAATTTCAGCATCAGCTGCGACATTAATTGTTCTTCAATCTTCATCCCTAAAAATTCACTTCCTTAGTGTCACACCTATTAAAAATCTATTATAATTGTTATCGGTTGGATAACATTTCCATTTTAGGTTAGATTTACAGTAAATTATTCACATTTTAGGGGTAGATTCTTATATAATATATATTTTATCGAATTAACTTTAGGGTTAGAGTTATCTTGGATTAGAGTTAGATTAGGTTTTAGTTAGTTATATATAAGCAATATCAACTGGGCAAAGAGCGTTCGATAGATATGATTTTGATTCTGACCTTGCGCTTAAGATTTGCGATGGATATCCATTCAATTCATTCAATTAAATCTTTGACTATCGGGTTAATATTATTTAATTACTTAAAAAAAACTCGCGCTTTATAAGTTTATCTGATCATAAGCATATTCTATTAGATTCAAAACATATAGATCTTAAAATTTCAAATATTTCAATTTATTATTATTTAAATACTTAAAATTTTCATATTTTTTTGGTTTTGGCAAAAAACATGTTTTTATTTTAGATAAAATTAGCAATTGACTAAAAAGTATAATCTTATATCTAGCGAAGCTTAAATGTATTGTAGAATAAAAAATTTAAGTAATTTATTTACAAGAATCTAGAATTCGAGAGTGGATTTTTCGCCGCATTATTTTAAGTAAATGAAAATAAATTTTAATTGTTATAATAAAATTAAATGATATTTGTTTGTGCATGGTATATATAGAGACAATTAAATAAAGTCAAATTTAAAAAAATGTCCAAAGTTGTGAAAAGAGTTATACGTTCTTCCGAATCATCGAAATCATTATCTAATTTTTCAAAGACATAATTAATAATGTCATGTTTCATGCTAGAAACATTAGTTAATAAAATACTAAATTATCTTGAAAACTATAAATTCAAGATCATCTACTTAATCTTTATATTTATCGACTTCATCTTGATAGATATGTTATAGAGTTTAAATTTTACAAATTTACAAAGTTGCTTATATATAACTAATATTGGATCAGTGACACTTATTCTAAATAATTGATTAATTATATATTTTATTAATGGTGTCATCTATACTGCATGAGATTTCGAATATTCTCACATCTCACATACCTGTATTTCATTTCTAATTATCAGGGAGAAAAAAAATCAGAAAAATTAGATGGGAGCAACTATCAAATTACTCATCGATACCACTAGAAATAGAATATTAGGAACATAAATAGTCATTGCTTAATAAGTATAGAATTTTTCTCTTACCATTTTATCTAAGGCAGCGAAATAACAGAGCTTTATTCTAGTTATAGTTGTTAGATGAAACCATGTGATGATAATCATCACTTGTCATAAAATACCAAGACCTAAAAATTTAATCTAGTTTTTATTAAATAATGATATGTGACATTTAGCATCACATGGTTTCATTTAACAACTATATACTGAACTATATAAAAATTTTCAAAGAAATTCGTCTTACACAAAAGACTTCTTTGTTTTAATATAAATTCTAAAAATGGATTAGTATATTATGTAACATTAATCAATATTAAATTTTCGTGAATAAAATTTTGTTTGTCTAATATTTAATCTCTCTCAACTGTATTACTAATGCAATTTGCACTAAAAAATAATATATACTTTTGTACCTTACTAAGAATATATAAAAAGATGTCTCAAATTCCTGATTTTATAAAGCATAAATGGATATAGTCAAATTAAATCTTAAGTCAGAAAATGATAGTTTTCTACTTCATGAAGTAAATAGATTTGTAGCAAATGCTAGGCAGTGCATTATAATTACTGGAGCAGGTATATCATGTAGTGGAGGAATTCCCGTAAGTAATATCACTTTCTTCTTGAGATTTCAACAGCAGCCATTAATTTTAAAATTTTATTTTTTTCTTATAACTATTACCAAAAGGATTTAGAAGTTCAGATGGTCTTTACAATATAATAAAAAGTCAATATCCAGATGCTTTTCATTCGGGCAAAGATTTATTAGATGCTCAATTGCTTAGAACCCATAATTCTATTAAGCAATTTAATCTTTTCATGAGTATATTAAAAAATTTAATTGTAAAAGCTAGACCCACAGCTACTCATTCTTTTATAAAAAAATTGGCAGATATGAAAAAATTAAAAAGAGTATATACACAAAACATAGATAATCTCGAAGAATTAGCAGGATTACATGTTGATTGGCAATTTGAAAGAGTTAGCAGCTGCAAAGCGCAAGTAGTTCAATTATATGGAACTTTGTCAAAATTACGATGTAATGCTTGTACAAACATTTGTCCTTTTACACTGCAATATTGTGATATTTTCAAGAATGGTAAAGCTCACAATTGCCCCAAATGTGAAGAGAGAAGCATGGTGGACAATCCTCGTAGTACAAGCTTCTGAATTTGAAATTTGTGACTCGGTTAAGCTATCCAATAAAAATCTAGAATCGTCAATCACATGAAATTAAATAATTGGTTATCTTCTAAAACGGAATAATTAGCCAATCACATTTATAATAATCGATAATGATCTTTAAAATTTTTATTTTATTAAATCGAAGATATTTAGTGATCTAGTGGCTAGAATTTAATAATTTTTATATCATTCGATTTGTCTCGTCGAGGCAAATCGAATGTTATAAAAATTGGAAACTCCAACCACTAGTTCATAAAAAATCATCAATAATATAATATTCAATTTTCCTTATATTTGTCTTAATAAAAATTTGGTTTTTTTCTACATATTTGCTATTTTTATTTAATTTAACCAATAATATTCTTCTAAACCGTTTTATATCGTATCTTAGAAGTGTAATAGTTAAAAGTTAGTAAAATTTAACTTAATAAAACAAGAATTTTTATTTTTTCGCATATGCAATGTATCGCACCCTATAAGATCTGGTGTAATGTGAAATCAAAACAATAAAATTAATTCGTTAGTTTAGGGTTAGGGTAAAGTGCTTTAGCAAAAAGGTTCTACCAAAATTTCGAGAGAAATTTTTTTTGTTAAAGCCCGAGAGTTGGTTTTATAGACAAAATTTCTTTCTATAGCCGATTTTTAAAAAAAAATCGTAATTGCTTCGATTTCACATTACACCTGATCCTGCACTCTAATTGGTTGATCAGGGTGGCGATACGTCGCCATGGCGATAAATTATAAAATCTTTTATTATATACTATTTTAGATCATATAATAATAATATAATTAATATATTGTAAACATATTTAGCAAAAAACATAGATTTCTGTAAAGTGTATCTGGACTCTGGTCATAATAAGATAATTGTCGTGAATTATCATTATTATATTAAAATTATAATTTTGTATCAATTATTATGAAATGCACCTATGGTGTTTAGCACTATATAATTTGTTTTTAATAAAATTTAGAGTTATGGTGCATTTTTATAAAATTTTTTTTTATATATTATAATATATATTATATTTAAGGTCCCGATTTTAGTTCTTGTGAGGTTTTTGAGAGTCCTGAACATTTTTACTTAGAGTATCCCGTTTACACGTTTCTGAGAAATAATGACCTATAGTGATAAACACCATAGGTGTATTTTAGTAAACTTGTTTTGTATGATGAAAGTTGTTATTTGAGTACTATTGCATGTATCAAATTAAATAATTCCAAACAAAGAGACCTAGTACCCTTGAAAAAGCACACTTCTGAACACCTTCAAAATTTTTGGAGCAGATTTGTTTAATTATCACATAAGATCAATAAGTCATATCTTTGCGAACTATTCTAATTTGTAACTCTAGAATTTTTCTAAATAATTGTGGCAGCTGAAGCTGAGATTTCGAAATATTTTAATATTAAATTTTACATTTAGCGTTAGACTGTATTACACACTTAATTTATGTGCTGTGCAAAAATTACGTTTTTGATGCATTATATTTATTAAAGTCAAAAGAGTAACTTCGAACTTTTTGTCACATGACAAAAAGTTCAAAGTTACTCTTAATTCTAATAGATATAATGTATCAAAATCATGACTTTCGTATGTTACCAACCAAAGTTACAAATTTAATTCTACCTGTTTTTACCAGAGTTACGCTTGTCGAACCATAAAATTATCAGTTGTGAATAGGGTTGGCATTACCTTTCTTAGTATCATATAGTGCTAGCAGCCTGTATTAAACAATAAAAATAGTACAACTTTAAAACGTATCAACTTTTAGAGACTTTATTTTTATAAAGAACAAAGTTACCGGTCAGATTTTCAATGAAAGCAAAGTGGTGATTTGGTCAGATATGGTTGTTATGCTATGATCACAGATCTTGAGAGATGCGATCCGGATATCTGTTAATTCAATTTATAATAAAAAAAACTGGATATCCGTAATTTTTAAATAGGAAATGGATAACGGATCACATCTCTATTGTAGGCTAGTGGATCCGTTAAGTCATGTGATTAATAATTGGAGTACTGCTGTTTAAAAAATACTTGACATTACATCTTACTTCCTTACAATATAATATTAGGTTTGCTTATGATTTTGATTATGAAAATTACATTCTCTCTCTTCGGAAGGAAGATACCATTTCAAATGGGAAAATAATCTACAGCCATATGTATAATTTAGCTCCATTTCTTTGTTCAATTAAGTTCTTGAAACAAGACCAAAACGTTCTTGCACTTTCTGGGGTGGTTGATTTATTCACTCTATACCAAATAAAAATTTAATTTTATCTTATAAAAGAATTCTAGTTCGACGCTCATTTCAATTGATTGTAAATAACGCATAAAAATTTAAACTTCTAACTTTCGCGTAATCATACACTCGGAAATGCTCAAGAATATTTATACAAGATTGTACTTGTTTCAAGAATCACTTAACGGCTACACAAAAGTCTATATCGCTTTAAATAAAGTATACGTAGATTTAGTATAATTTAAGTAATATATAATAAATATTTTTGTAGAATGTGATGTGTAACAAGGCGCTTTTATATTTTAATTAATGTATTACAAGTTACACGGAAACAATAATCATATGGTATTAAACAAAGAAATGGAGATTAGTGTCGAGATCCTAACCGGTTTACGGTGTTTTTGTTGCTTTTCCCTATTAGAATTTCTTCGCTTCACTTATTTACCAAATAGTTTATCATTGATACATTAAATCTATAAATAAATGCTACTTAAATTTATATTACTTATATTATAGTTAA